ATAGAAAAAAAAAAAAAATATATATATATATATATACACATACATACACTAATAAATAAAAATGAAAAGTTCACTTAGAAGTAATCAGCAACTAAATCTAGTCTTTTGTCCCCGGGAATCATTTAGAGGTTCTAAAATGAGAGAAGTAATTTTCATTAAGGAAACCAACAAAATCAGACCAATGATTTCTAAAAATATTTTCAGATTGTCTATGATTATAGTTTATGACCAAATGGAAATGTAAAGCATCTCTCTCAAAACAGCATGACTTCTGAGCTGTTCATCACCTTCCACTAGCCCCTTCTAACACTTTCATAGATTCTTCAAGTCATGTGGCTAACACATCAAAAACGGTTTTATTCCTGACTTCAAATAGAACAACTGCTAATCTGAGGGAACAATGCACAGTGCTTAAGAGCATGAACTCAGGAACCACTACCTGAGTTCCACTTGTTGGCCATGCAGTCTTGGGTGAGTTCAGCTCTCTCTGTCTTGGTTCCCGCTCCTGTTCTACGAGCTGCCTTTGGCACATAGTGCTCTAGGAGTATTTGTTAACAGAATGACTTAAAAGACAAAAAAAGGCTTCCCGAAACACAAGTGTGTCATTATCTAATTGTATGCACATAGATACAGATCTTAGAAAGCTTAAACAAGAAGATACTATTGTCCTAATATTCTATAAACACTAAAGAACTCTAATCTCAATGACCTCTTGGGCCCAACTATTGGGTCTTTGGAAAAGCCAAAAAAATTACATATTTTTCATGTTTCTCTATGCAAAAATACATCATAACTTTCCTTTCGACCCAATAACTGGCATACTGAACCATGTAACATACTTGTCCTTTTGGTCTTTAAGTTTTTTGCCATAGGGCGTGTGCACTCATACGGGAGAGAGAGAAAATATCACCCCCCGGGGAGGAGGGTGGACACGCTACAGTCCCTTCTAGGCACCCATGCACACCCACTTGGCATGATTTTCAAGCTACCAGGTCAGGGACTCAAACCATGGTTGGCCATGTGGGAGTTCATCACCTTAACCACTACACCACCTGATGGCCCCAACCTACTTGTCTTCTAATAGGCTGTTTTCCTCTGATCTGTTCTTGCACTAGAGCTGTTATCCAATCACAAGCAAGTCCAGCAAGGATATATACTTGATGTACCATGCCTGTGCTATTTTCTGTGTAGGGGAAGCGTGTGGAGGAAGGTCTCCCACCAGCATTTCACTTCCTTAGCTTACATTCAAGCAAAGAAACATAGTTATTTTCTTTATAAGTTATAATAACATTTAAAATAACCTAAATTCTGAAGGTTAAATTAAGCTTCTCAAATGCCAATACCTATGCCACCTATATGTGAATGAAACTAACACACACACACACACACATACACATTTTACTTTTTTTTTTTTTTTTTGAGGAATTTTTGCTGTAGGGTGTGTGCACTTGCAGGGAGATAGAAAGTGAGAAGTCACCCGTTGGGGGGATGGCTACACTGCAATTCCTTCTCCTCCATTCTCCTTTCAGGATTTTGGACATGCACGCTCTTGTACCCGGCTGTTTTAAGTCACTGGGTCTGGGACTCGAACGGCAGTTAACTATGTGGAGTCCAGCGACATAACCATTATGCCATCTGCTGGTCCACCAGAAACATTTTAAACTCAAGGGCACCTTTAGTTTCACCTTCAAAAGCTAAATTAATCTCAGTAAGCAAAGATTATCATTACCTTCGAGAAGGCCATTTGACTGAAGAAAGTCTGTTTGCCACCTATTGTAAGTGAAAGCTACCCAGAGATTTCACAATACGAGTTTAGAAGATAGGTTGGGGCGGCGAAGGAAAATGCTAAGCTCAGAAAGCTGCTTTTTGGTATCGCTTCCTTGCGTCATTGATGAGCTATGCAATCTGTAAGGCAGCACCTTGGACATTAGGACAGGGCATGCAGAAGCTGCTCTATTATGTATAATTACAGTAGATCCAAAGGACAGAAAAGACCCACGAAAACTTAGGAATTCATCAAACTGCTGACCCAAACAGCCTCTGCACGATGGGCCAGAAGTGAGATGGCACCAGGAGAAAGAGATTAGGACTAAGATGTAATTCTAAAATGTGCCAGACAAAAACATTCCTGATGTGCTAAAAGGGCATGAAAACAGAGCCTTTGTTCATTCTTTAAAAAGTAAAAAGAGGCCATATAGTCATGCAGTGGCAAAGTGCTCTATGAGGCTGACCCACAAGGGAAGGTTCTGAGTCTGTGTGTTGAGACCACTTGGAAAATGCCAGGGCTGGCTAAGGCTGGGGGTGGGTTGCAGCATCAAGACCTGGTTGAGCGTGCCCTCTCTCTTCCTTATAAAATAAACCTGACAATTTTTTTTGGGGGGGGGGAAGAGGTTTTTGCTATAGGGCACCTGCACTCGCCAGACAGACAGACAGAGAGACAGAAAGCAAGAAATCACCCCCCAGGGGGGATGGCCACTCCGCAATCTCTCCTCCTCCATTCTCTCGGGATCTTGGGCACGCACGCACATGGGCCTGGCGTGAGTTTTAAGCCACCAGGTCCAGGATGCAAACCACGGTCGACTACATGGGAGTCCAGAGACATAGCCATTACACTAACAGCTGGTTCTTAAGCTTGACAATTTTTAAAAAATAAAGATAAAACAATTTTCAAGTCCTTGAGGATACCAAGTTCAAATCAAATCATTTCCACGAAACCAATTGAGAGAAAATTTTGAGTTAATTCTCAAGTGCCAAACCCACACATGAACAAGATGAAATTTCTTTACGCTTTTTATCTAGCCGTATGTCCCTAAGATCTGAGATAGTTCTACTTACGTTAAGCTCAGTATTCATAATCTGAGTATATATTAGTGTTCCAGATTGGTGTATTGTTGATACACTGTTGAGCTGCCCTATTCCGACGTATGTTCAAGAAAAGCGTGTTACCTTGAGCCTCTCTTCACTTGAAGGCAGTTTTCATCCAAGTTAAGCCTATGACAACTTCACCAAAACGTCTCCAGAAGCTAGTGTTGAAAACCATTACTGATTGTTCTCATTACAGCTATGCAAACTGTGACCGTGAAAGCACATAACTGGTTAAGCGTTGGCAGGCCAGATCTCTGCCGGTTCCACTCACTATTCCAATACTTCTTCATAGCCTCATTCTGTCCAATAAAGGACAAAGACCTCACCATGGAGCTGACAGAACAGCTTAGCTCACTTACTTCCACAGCTTGTTTCCTTAAAACTTTTTATTGCTCTAAACTGGCATGGGTAAATGACAGACTTGTAGACTGGTGCCCCAAAACTCATTCTGAGACCAAATTTATATCACTGGTAACCCAGTGTTGGTTTCTTGGTATAAAAGTGTGAAATAATTTTTTTCCTTCCAGTTCAAGACAAGTTTTCTTCCCAATACTACAACACTATATTAACGGACGTTTAAACAGTGACTCATTTTTGTGTCCTTCCTCCCAATTCCTTACCATAGTTTAAAAAAACTCCCCCCTCACCAAGCTGCTACAATCTGACACATTATCAATAACTAATCTTTAACGTTCCTCCCCAACCAAAAAATTAGGTAAATTTTTTTTTTTTGCTGGGAAAGTAAACTGATATAACAGTAGCCTGTCCAACTCAGTAGATTTTTTTTTTTTGGAGAGGTCTTTGCTATAGGGCACACGCGCTCACCAGACAGAGACAGAAAGCGAGAAATCACCCCCCACCCCCGGGGGGGGGGATGGCCACGCCTTAATCCCTTCTCCTCCCAGGATCTTGGGCATACACACACACACGCATGCACGCACGCACGCGCGCGCGCACGCCCAGCATGAGTTTTAAGCCACGGGGTCCAGGATGCGAACCGCAGTCGACTACATGGGAGTCCAGTGACATAGCCATTACGCTAACTGCTGGTCCCCAACTCAGTAGATCTTAATCATAAAAAATTCTTTAGCTACATATAATGAACTGTAAGGGTAAGAATTAGTGAACAGACTGAAACTTTTCTTTTTAAAAGTTAGGTCAGCTGCTTTGTTCAAGGAAGTTTTCTGAGCTATTCATCTCCCCTGCAACAACAGAAAGATGATCCAATGGTCTCTCACTCCATATACATTTCAAATCAATCCTCAGATTACATGAGTGAATTTCATCTTAGCCCTTGACTTCTAGATTTCAGCATGACATGTTTTAAACTTGCTACAAAACAGGGTGGCTATCCTTAAAAAAATACCATCTCCATTACAGGGAGACAAGGATGGACTCAGGAGGGTTGTTAAGAAATAAGGCTGTCCCAAGCACTAGTCAGGCTACACTTTTAAGATTTGTTCCATAGGGTGGGTGCACTCCCTGGAGAGACAAGAAAGGGAACATGAGAAGTCATCCCCAGGGGGGATGGCCTAACCCTAACTCTTCTCCATTCTCCTCTCAGGATTTTGGGCACGCATGCACACACACCCTGCGTTTTTCAGGCCACCAGGTCCAAAACTCCAACCAGTGTCGGCCATGTGGGATCCAGCACCTCAATCACCACACCACCTGCTGGTCCTGGGCTACACAGTTTTGATAGGAGGCAAACCGCCATCTGGAGATCTAGCAGACCAACTGCTTTCCATTACCCTGTGGCGGAGTCAGACCTATCTCTACCATGAGCCTTTACAACCTAACTCCAGAGGTAGATCTTCGGTGAAGGCTTAAAAACAAAGACCACAATAGCCTCTTTTAATTTTAAAGAATTTTAATACAAACTTAATATAAACTATTTCAGTCCCTCAACATGTAAGATACTGACTCAAAATACTTTTATACCGTTTTTTTCAAGTATTGCACAATATAGGTACAAAATTAATATTTACGATTACATTTTCTTCCATAATATATAGCAAAAATCTTTAAACTTTAACAGAAAATACATTTTTTGAAAAAGCAAATATTCGTACATTTTAATTCCACCACTAAAGGAATATCCTGTACACAATTTTTAGAATAGTTGATGTCTTTAAGATGGATATTTTACAATTTCAGTAAAAAAAATACAACATGAAGCTGCTGCTGTCACAGATCACTGTAGTAAAAAGATATAAATGCAATACCATGTCGTAGAAACAATATATATATATATCCTCTGATATTTTACAAACTTTGTACTAAATTAAATTATACAATTAGAAAAGACCAATAAACCCACTTATTAGTGCCAATTTTTATATAAAAAAAAAAAATCAGCCATGTCCTTGCTATATCTTAAATACTGTAAGAGGCCATATCTGAGAGTATACTTTAAAATATACAGTCTGTATAAAATAACTTTGTGCTTGGTTGGCAAATGAAAAATGATGCATGTTTTATTTTTGTAACCAAGCTTGAATGTATCTTTACTATAAGCTTAAAAAAAAATCTCAAGGGGGTGAAAAAAAAAAATCCCCCTTGGGCACGTGCATTTTAATCTGTATGATACATTTTTGTTTTGTTTTGTTTTAGTTAGCCATAACAGGCTGAAATTGCTGGTTAGAATACTGCATGTTATTTAAGCTAAAATTCAAGCCATCTACAAAAGACTTTTCGTTGAGGCCTCCATAGGCCGCAAACACATCAAAGGCATTGCTGTACTGGAGAGGACTGAGGTTAAGGGGGCTGTCACCTGGGAACATTCCATTGGTACTACTACCTTGACCCTGCATATTAGGAAAAATAAATTCCTTGGCATTCGGAGAAAGAGCGGAGGTTTTCTGCTGTTGCTGCGGTGGTGGTGGTGGTGGCGGTGGCTGGGATGGCTGCTGCTGCTGCTGTGGCTGCTGCTGGCCCCCCAGGCCAAGCCCGTACAGAGAGTGCATTGAGGAAGAGATGGCTTTCTGCTTCAAGAGGTCATTCACATTCAAGCCGAGGTTGATGGGAGAAGTACGAGCAACCTTGTTGCTACGGCCACTGTTCTTCATTTTGGTAGAGCCGAACTTGGTGGCAGCAAAAGTGGCAGTGGTAAAGGTTAAAGGCTGAGTGGACCGGGGCATGAAGGTAGGGCTGACAGCAGCAGAGTGACCAAAGGGAGGCGATGGAGAGCTGGACACTGATGAGGCTGGGTCACTTATGGGCATAAATACCTGGGCCTCTGGGTTAAAGCTGTTTTTGATCTCCTTATCCAACTCACATCCATTTTCATTATTATCATCCACATAAAGCACCTTCACTGGTCCCTTCTCACCAATTTGGTAGGAAACCTCAAACGGGTCGATCCAAACACTCAGATCCTGCGGCAGATTGCCACGAACGTCGTCAATATCCAAACCACTCTCTTTGGACGCTTGTTCAATCACCGGGTCCACTTTCTCCCCTACGTGAATACATCTAAACCCTGATCCTTTGTATGGCTTTTCAGGATACCAGTGTCCTTCATATTTCTTCTTAAGAAGTCTTTCAAGCTCTTCACCAAAAATGTTGACACGTCTCCTGGGAAGCTTATTGTACAAATATGAAATAATAAAATTTAGTGCTACTTGGATTTCAAGCTGCATAGCTGCTGTGCCACAGTTAGGTTTGTTTCAACTCTCCCACAAAAAAAAAAAAAAAAAAAAAAGTCACTCCGTTTGTGACAGAAAATTTCAAAGTGCTGGTATTAGTAGGTTATCCTTCACCTTGAGTGGTCTTGTTCCTTAAAGAAAACAAAACAAAACAAAAGCAAACATGTCCGGATAAGATAAATGTATTGTAAGAAGCATGACCTTTTTTTTTTAACCCCTAGAGTATTTCACTTTTTTTTTTTTTTTGAGTATTTCACTTTTGAATATGTCTTATCTAAAATAGGTTAGCTCTGAAAAATACAATCAATACAAAATAAAAGTACAAGAGAAAATTGTTTATTACAGTTCAAAGGCCTCATGGAAAAACAGAGACTTACAGCTAAGACACTTTAAAATCCTATTATTTACCTTCTGTTTTGGAATAGAGTTCTAAGAAAAATATTTCCAGAATATGTATATATGTATTCTTTCTTTTACTTCCCTCAATGCTCACTTAGAATATTTACTGGAAACCATCCTCAGCACCACCACTCACTCACTCACTACCACATATATATATATATAAAACATATTCCACTTTTAGAAGATGGTCATTAATTTTTAGTGCTAGTCACCAATTTAGAAGTGAACCCGACATTTTAGTCCATTTGGGATATATACTGCTTAAATCTGCTTTACAGTTAAACAGTTATTAAACATGTGAGAAGTCAGGAAAATTATTTTAATTTCCAAAGTCATGATGCTAAAACTAAAGGTACTAAATAGGAATGATAATTATGAACTTGCAAGTTGGGATCTTAAATGTGCTAAGGTACACAACTACGTAATCGAGGCTTTTCTCTGCCTTTTTTCTTTTCAATGTGTATTTTTCTAAATCTGAAAAGACCTCTTCTGCAGCAAGTATAACAAAAGCGACGATGAATTTTAAAACTCTATTGATTACTGTTTAAAGGGCAGGGTGGCTGAGCTTTATTCTGATTTTAAAAACCACCTCCCTCCCGCTCACGATAAGAGAACAGCCCAGCCGGAGAGGCATGTATGATAAGGTCGACCTTTAAACGTTTGCTGGATCAGCACTGGGTGGGGATAAGAAAAGATCAAGGGCAAACAAGATATTTGCAAAGGGGATCTATTTGTACACTGAAGTTGATTTAAAAGGACATTTAAAAATCAAGTTGGTATTAGTCCGTCTATTCCATTTTCCATATTCATGGTGACAAAGGGAAAAGAAACCCTGGCCGCCCCCAAACTACAAACACTTTCCAAGCCCAAAGCCTCAGTGCCGGCAAAGGCAGCTGATTGAGCCCAACTGCTCAAAGGTGCAGCCGAGCAAAATGCAGGCTCGATGGAAGGTAGTTTTAAAGCAACGCCTTAGACAGGAGTGTGAAGAATTACATAAACAGCCAGTTGGGTCTCATTAGATTTCTGCTCACAGCCTCAGAGCCCAAGCGCTACAGCAGCAGCTACAGCAAGAGGAGGTGGAGGTGGAGGAGGAAGAGAGTACGAGCCTCCTCGGAGGAGGAGGCGGAGGAAGGCCAAGGGAAAAGGAAAAGCAGCCTCT